CTATTTGTTTAAGTGTTTTTGCAAACTTCTACATCACTACTGGACAGACTCTAGAAATGCAATTAAATTGTTTGTCTACTATTTCAACGATTATTTCAAGAATGTTGAATGTTTTGCCAAATTATATTATAGTTAACTTATATGAGTTAAAATATCAAATTATATGAGTTATATAACTTATGTCTAATTAGTTAACAAACAATCAATGCCAACATTCGCTTCATTTGAATTGTTATGCATTCAATCATAACTTATAAATAGCGAAACAAATCGTCAATTAGAGTGTAAATCAAATTAAAGCGTCAAACTATTAAATAAATATTTTTAATTATTATAATCTAAGTTAGTTTTTAAATAAATGCATCGACAGATCATTAAATATCAGGAAATTCAATGCAATAAAAACTTTAAAATTAAAACCTAGTGTTTCCGTATTTAATTTGCTATCACTTTGAGTAGACTTTGGTATGTCTTCCTCGACAGCGATGCTATTGTGAGGCATTTGAGAGACATTATAGGGATTGGACTCCTTATTAGTCAATGTAGAGAAGTTATCGCGCGTTTCATCTCTGTTAACACTTTCACTTTCAACACATCCATCGTTACACTCGCTGTCCAATGAATTATTCCGCAATTCATTCAATTGAATCGTTTGACACAAATTCTGTTCAATTATATCATTGTATTGATTGACTAATTGGGGAACAATTCCCGATTTGCTGTAACTCCACATCACTGCCCGACACAACCGCTATATTCCGCACAACAAATCAAATCAACAAATATTTTTCACATTAAATAGATTTCAACACTTGAAGGAAGCGATAGACACACACCATATGAGAGATCAGTTGAGATACAGTACACAGTGTGTACACTGAGGACTGGCAGAGCTCTGCCTTTGAGTTTCTAATTGCGGAACAAATGTTTTATTTTTGTTTCCCAAACACTGACTCTCGGTGTCTATGACATAGACATAGACTATGTTTTCCTCTTACATGACGTGAACACTATTTTTAAGATTCAAAGAATCCAAAACTGAGTTATGATATCATATGAGGAGTGCATTCTTGTCGCGCATAAAAACAACATTGAATTTTTTAAAAAAAAACTTTTCCAGATTTCGGTATTTTAATTACCCGTTAAATGCTTATCAAAAATAGTCGACACATGTTTGCCATTGAAATTATGTTGACGTTTATAAAAATGTTTTTTTCTTACAATAAATCAAACATTTTACATTTAATTGTTATGCCTAAAAACTTGTATAAATATTTATTTAAATAAATTATGTTAACGTTAGTGTCCGTAAGCGCTAACCGGAGGTATAGTCCGGACGTGTCCTCTCAATTAGGTTACAAATAATATACAATAAAAATGTCAATACATTATCGATGTATCAATAAATATGAATTCATAAACAGATTAAATGGTAAATACAGTTGACATTCGGTTTTGACATTTTTTCGGTGCTGTTAAAAATATGTGTCAAAATCGAATTCTGTTAAAATTGAATATCATTGAAATGTGCATTAAATTAATTGTTTTAATAAAAACAGCATTTATTTTATATTGATCACTAAATTGGAGCACAATTTCATTGTAATTAACATTTTGGCAATTAATTTAATAATGTTGTACTTAGTTTCAAGAACTTTCTACGTTTTTATCAACATTTGTTCATGAAAAATGTATCAAAACATAACATAACATTCAATGTGTTAAAATCGAACCATAGAGTTATGCTATACTGCCATTGAAAATTCACTGTTAAAACCGAATTCTGTTAAAATCGAATGTGTCAAAATCGAGCTATTTAACATTACAGTGTACATAGGGCTCGCCGGTGCTAACAAAATGTTATGTTAAAACCGAATTCTGTTAAAATCGCGCCTGTCAAAACCGAATGTCAACTGTACATGAAACAAATACATGCAAAACGTCTAAACAGTATTCAATTGTCAACTAAACGCTTGAGTTTAAAGAGTCGGTACTGTCTTTGCGTTCATCGCTGAGTGTGTCGTCAGTGTCTCCGTTGTCTTCGTCGTCCTCTTCGTCGTCGTCCTCCACTTCGCGCCCGTCTTTGGCCACCGAATTGGTGTCCATTCGGCGACAATTCTCGTAGATATTCTCTTCGCCGGCCATCGCGTGGCTGTTGTGCTGTCCGTCGGTATTGTAGTCGCAGTTTAGGATCTGTTTATACGATTGTATCGATTGCTGCAAAGCATTCAACTGAGACAACAAAGACATGTCTAACTGTCTTAAGCCAATCATTTCGCGGCGAAGTATCGACAGCTTTTCGTCCAATCGATTGTTACCCATATTAGTGGCCGAGTCTTCAGCCGAGGCGTCGGCGCCATCGACGGCACCGCTGGTGGCCGTCGACGAGGAGGTCGTGGTTTCTGTGGTCTTCTCGCTCTTCGCCGCCGCCCTCTCGTCAGTCCACTCGGCGTCGGGACGAGTGGTCAACGATTTGGGTAACGGAGGCAACGCGTGGCCACTCATCGCCCGTTTGGCGCAAAACCAATGATTTGTCCGCTAATTATCGGCGATTCAAACCACGGCTCAAGTCATCAACACTTCCTCATTCACTCAATACTATTAGGGGTTCGCCACAAATGCCGTCACTTTTATCGACCCGTTTATTGACTTTATTTACACAAATCCCACATTATTTCAATGCAATACTCCTATCATTGACTCACGAAAAAGTTGTAACGTTTGTTGCGAACAACTCTCGCGAGCAATACTTCACAGCCATCTGTGAAGCCATAGACTGACGACACGCTCTGTTTGTGTGCAATACAGGCGTTGCCATACGTGCACGCGATGGGCCACTCAGGGGGCTATTGGGGGGCTGTTTGGCAGTGAACTGATTTTTAAAATGAAATTATAGCTTAAAAATTAATAAGATAACTTTATAATTGTATAAATACATGGCAAATCTAGTCAAAAGTGCAATATTAGTCCAATGATGGCCACCACTGACCACACTATCCGTGACGCTCCTTTGGACACATCTGATGCCACAAAAAACTTTATACTGAAAATACTGTGTTTGCAATAAACGATAGGTTAATGCAAAGAAAAAATAGCGAAAAAATCGCAAAATTTAATTTAAACTATAGTTTAGTTAATTTTTTCGGTTAAAAACATGACAAATACTTTGCGAGAAATGCAACAAAAGTAGTGGTAAATTGAGTGAATCCGATGACAGATGCAGTTGTGGTGAACCACTGGTGATGGTTGTGGTGGAGGTTGTGGTGATGGTTGGCCTCCAATGACATCACAATCACGTGTTTGCGCTGCGATTGGCTGTCAAGGGATGACAATATGAGTGCATTTCATAGCATATCATAACAACAACAACAAGAGTCGAGTGAAGACAAGAGTGAAAGCATTGAGCGATTGGTTTGCCATCAAAACCATCATTGAATCGCTGAGGAGGTGAACACACGAAGACATTGACACCAATTGTCTCATTGCAACCAATGGTGGCCTCA